AGAAAACAACATACAAGTAAGCACAACACTAACAACACAAGGGAAACATCAACATCATCATCATTATCCTCATCATAAAGCAAAACATTGTTAGAGTACAAACAATTCAATAACAACAAACATAATCAATCATCATACTAGCATATCAATAAGTTCCACAATCAATTCATTCCATCATTCATCTACCAAACAAGCATAGTAAACTCATAACTCACGCCCGATTGGATCGACCTGCTCTGATACCACTAAATGTGACATCCTTACTACCCCAACACATATATTGTAACAATGTAAATAAGCTAAAGAATAAATTTTTTAACGTTCGTAAAAGGGTTCACATAAAAACCTTCACAAATGTTCTTCAATATCCAAAATGATTGAAAATAAATAAATTAGAAAATGAAACATAAGAGTTTACAAATTGTCTTTTTAAAAAAAAAAAATACAACTCCAAATCCAAATAAAAATTCCATGTCCTAGAAATTCTCTGCCCCGATGTCACAATATCAGAGCATACTCACAATTCAACTGTTGGCATTCTAGATGCCACTCAAAGCCAGATCTTCCTCACCTAAAAATTCCACAAGTTGTACGGTGAGAAAAGAAAACATCTATATGGAAAGCACATAAGGGAAAACACAACATAATCTCATCATAACTCCTTACTTAATAACATATTCACCAGCATATATATATATATATATAATAATTTGTCAATCATTCATCATCTTCACATCTCAATCATAATCATATTCACATTCATCACATCTCATCTTATAGCTCAATAACATATACACACAACGGATAAGTCCAACAAAATAAGGGTTTACACACCCCTCAAACAATTCACATCTAGATCATCAATTCTTATCAAGTAATATAACAATAACATTCAAAAATTAATATAATGATCAATGGAATTACCAATATAATCTTAACATAAACGGTAAAACCCCCAATTATTCCAAAACTTAACTCATAGGCACTTTTCTACATAACAATAACATTCAAAAATTAATATAATGATCAATGGAATTACCAATATAATCTTAACATAAACGGTAAAACCCCCAATTATTCCAAAACTTAACTCATAGGCACTTTTCTACAATTTCGTACTCTCTCCCAGATCATCATTCTTACAAATTATGAAAATATTTGTGGCCATGGATGGAACAAATAGAAAGGGGAACCCAAATATCCATATGCATCAAATAAAAACAAGAAGCTGTAGAGTTGATGCTAATAGGAAAAGATAACTTGCATTGCTTTGCTAAATGGCAATAGTCACAGACAAGTTTGTGATCATACTTAACATATGGAAATTGTCCTTTTATTTGCTGTAAAATAGAATCAGATGGATGACCTAGATTAACATAAGGAAATTGTCCTTTTATTTGTTGTAAAACAGAATCAGATGGATGACCTAGTCTATAATGCCACAAATCAAAATTGGAATTATTCATATTGTTGTCACTGGAAGTTCTAGCAGAATTAACGATCTTATTCTCTGAAAAATTTTGCCTTTGAAGGATATACAGATTGCATTGAAGATTAGCAGGACCAATCATCAGTTTGTTGTTGTGATCCTGGATATAACAACACAGCTTGTCAAAGACAATTTTACAATTGAAGTTTTTAACAATTTTACCAACAGATATAATATTGTAGTTAAAATCAGGGATGTATAAGACATCTTGTAAAAAAAATCTGCCAGAGAAAGCAACAGTACCAGAAATCTGTGTTTGAGTAATGAATCCATTTGGTAATTTAATTCTTATAGGCTCAATGGTGTTATAAGAATCATAGCAAGAAAGTGAGTTGGATACATGGTCAGTGGCGCCACTGTCCAGTATCCAAACATTATCAGGTAATTTTTGCTCTTTTTGTGTAGATAAGATATTACCTGGATGTTGTTGGAGATTGTCTACAACATGAGTTTCTCCACTTACATTTGATCCCTTGAGTATCTCCATAAGTTGATTATATTGTTTAGTTGTAATGGTACAACTTACCTCAGTGTATTCCTTTCCAATAATTTTGTGATCACTGCCTTCAACAGTGGTAGGTGAGGGAGCGGAATCTGAGGGGTAGGAGTTCACAGTTGATGTTTGTCTTTTATTTTTGAAATTGAAATTCGGAGGAAATCCATGTTTGAAATAACACGTCTCCACTGTGTGCCGTTCTTTTCCACAAAATGTGCAGATTTTTTGTGGTTGGTTGCTAAAATTCCTTTGATTAAATCTTCCTCTTCCTCTTCCGGATGAGGATCCATTTCTTCCTCCAAAAGATTGTTTATTGTTTGTTATGCTTGCCACCAGATTGACTTCCTGAAGCAAGTTCCCTAAGACCTGCCTTTCTTGTTGCAAAACAAGAGAGAAAACTTTGTTAATGTTAGGTAAAGGGTCCATCATTAGTACCTGGGATCTGACAGTGTTGTAGGAGTCATTCAAGCCTTTGAGGAAGCAGATGACATATTCAGTTTCCTTGTAATTTCTCACAGTTTTCACCAGCTCACAGGTGCATTTTACTGTGCAGGAGCATGCTGGGATAGGCCTCAAGATTTCTAACTCCTCCCATAGAATTTTTAAATCTATATGATAAGTGGAAATAGTTCTTTCTCCTTGTTTGATGGAGTGAATTTCCTGTAGGAGGTCAGACATCCTGAAATGGTCTCCTTTCGAGAATCTGTCTCTCAAATCCTTCCATAAGTCCTCTGCATTGTCAATATATACAATGCTTTGTGCAATCTGCAAAGAAACAGATCGAGTTATCCAAGAAATGACCATCGTATTGCACCTTATCCAAACATCATGCAAGGAGTCATTGGCTGGTGGTTCTTTGATCGTTCCATCTACAAATTTGTATTTGTTTCTTGATTGAAGTCCTCTCTTCATTAACTTGCTCCAAGAATGGTAATTTGGGCCATCAAGAACAGGGGAAACAGTGAGGGTGTTGATATTTTCACCCGGATGAAGATAGTAGGGGCTGTTGGGATTCTGTGACTCATCTCCTTTCTTGATGTTGGTTTGTTTTAAAGAACTTTCTTCTTCAGCCATGTTGGATCAGAGTGTGGCACGACGGAGCTCTCCTTGAGATTGCTCTTGATACCATAAAACGAAAAGAGAGTGGAGGAGAAAAAGAATGTCTGAATAAAATGATTCTGTGTATTTCAAATAGCAAGCCTCTACACACTTATATTAAGAGTTAGCCAAAATAACCCCAAAACAGAATTAACAGAAAACTAACTAAACTAACTAACAACTGATCTTATTCTCTAATAATGGCCTAACTCCAAGTCCCATACCACGTACATAGCCAGGATGTTCTTTCCGACAAACTCTCTCAAAAGCTTCATTTCAAAACAATTTTATATTTCATTTTGCAATTTTTCCGGTAAATAACATTAAACATAATAGCATTTAAACAGTACTAGACCACAAATAACAATGAAGTTCAAATAACAATAAAGTTCAAATGTGCACGAGAAGTAGTTTGGACAAAATAGCCTCAATTCTTTGTATTTCAATTTATTTAGAACAATTAATCTTGACATTTAGAATTCTTGATTATAGAAAACAAAAATCTGATAGAACTTCCTACATTGTATTGAATTGGATGGAAGTTACAATACAATGATGTTGATAATGCTTGGCAATACTGCTGATAATCACAAGGTCATATACTGCTTATCTATGCTCTTACCACATACTGAATACTATTGTGAACCTATCAACTATAGATAGTGGTAATACAATAATGGACTTCACCTTATCTTAGTAACACCACAATAGTAATTGACTTAATTAGCATATTCATAGTCATACCATGAACCGGAGATTATTGTGAAACTATTAACTTTGGTTAGTAGTCATGCTATAATGGACTTCGACTTGTCGTAGTGCACCATAATAGTAATTGACATAGTTATTATATATAAAATAAGACCACAAGGCCAGTATTTTGTATCAAGCTATTAACACACCATATCAATCGAATATCTAATTATTTAGATTATCAATTCTCTTTGTTTTCCCTTCACTACCTAATTACTAAATCCTGTAATTTCAATGACCAAATAGACTTAATATATATATATATATATATATCAGAAATCACTAGATAATCAATCTATTATTAGTATATAAAATAAGACCACAACTAGTATTTTGTATCAAGTTATCAACACACCATGTCAATCAAATATCTAATTATTTAGATTCTCAACTTTCTCTTTGTGGCTACAAAATCACTCTCGTTTTAGTAGTTTGGAACAGCCCGTTCTAGGCTACTAATGACCCCTATTGGGCCTTTGGGCCCTCAAACAATCTGTGAAAATCAGGCTGTTACAGTTTGTTATGTGGTATCTTCTATCAACCTTGATTTTAATTAGTTGATTTTCATGCATGAATCTAGTTTTAAATTAAGAAGCCATTTATATTGACTATTGTTACATGTGGGGTAGAGGGTGTCACACACTTTCTCCTATATTTCCACCATTTTTTGTCTTGTTTGGAGCTTAAAGAATCAATGAAAGAAGATTGGGAGCTTAATAGAACTAGTTGAAGAAATACACCAATCTACTTCAACTTAGTTTCATCATTATTGTTGGCTAAATCATGAATGGGAAAAATGTTGCTATTTAACAACTTAAAAGAATGATTCTATATCATGTTTAGAGTGTTACAAATCAAAAATTAAATTTACTTGAATCTTATTTAGTTGTATTATTTAAATAGTAAAATTTAAGTTATTCTTTGAATTTATATGGTGTACTATCTTAGCCAAAATATTTTATCAATTGATTGATAGATGATAGATATTGATCACATAATAGTGTGATAGTTAAACTATGCAATTTTTTATTTATTATTCTTCCCTTTTAAGCATATTAAATTTATAAAACTTAATTAATTAGTGTAATTAACTATCACATATTTGGAAAGATGAAACAACTCAATCAATCGATAATTTCAACATATGTAAGTTACTATCATTTTTAAGCTAAGAATGAAACAAAAAGACAATTTAACATCTTCAAGTAAGAAAAATATTAAAAAAACAACTCACATATTTAGCACAACAGACTTAAAAAATAAAACTCAACATGCTACCTAAACCATAAATGGTTAACATGCCAGCACCAACACTCAAGGGAATTACCAACATTTCACTCTCCCATCAAGAATACCAAAACTCCAATTCTCAAGATACAACCTCCTTGGATTCAATCGCTACAACTATAGATTTCTGAAACTCCACCAATCGTAAACTCTTAATATACTCGAAAAATCAATGTCTCATCCATATCCAAGGTTCTAATAGTTCTAGTTGGTTAGCGCAAGGCTCCGTCCACTACTACTGGTACATATGCTCGCAACACGAGCGATACCACTCAACCACTACTTCTTACATAAGCAAGAAGTATCAAAACAAATAAGTAATCATGAATAGCATCAACTAAGCTATATCATGTTTTTTAGCAAAATTCTAAGAAAACAACATACAAGTAAGCACAACACTAACAACACAAGGGAAACATCAACATCATCATCATTATCCTCATCATAAAGCAAAACATTGTTAGAGTACAAACAATTCAATAACAACAAACATAATCAATCATCATACTAGCATATCAATAAGTTCCACAATCAATTCATTCCATCATTCATCTACCAAACAAGCATAGTAAACTCATAACTCACGCCCGATTGGATCGACCTGCTCTGATACCACTAAATGTGACATCCTTACTACCCCAACACATATATTGTAACAATGTAAATAAGCTAAAGAATAAATTTTTTAACGTTCGTAAAAGGGTTCACATAAAAACCTTCACAAATGTTCTTCAATATCCAAAATGATTGAAAATAAATAAATTAGAAAATGAAACATAAGAGTTTACAAATTGTCTTTTTAAAAAAAAAAAATACAACTCCAAATCCAAATAAAAATTCCATGTCCTAGAAATTCTCTGCCCCGATGTCACAATATCAGAGCATACTCACAATTCAACTGTTGGCATTCTAGATGCCACTCAAAGCCAGATCTTCCTCACCTAAAAATTCCACAAGTTGTACGGTGAGAAAAGAAAACATCTATATGGAAAGCACATAAGGGAAAACACAACATAATCTCATCATAACTCCTTACTTAATAACATATTCACCAGCATATATATATATATATATAATAATTTGTCAATCATTCATCATCTTCACATCTCAATCATAATCATATTCACATTCATCACATCTCATCTTATAGCTCAATAACATATACACACAACGGATAAGTCCAACAAAATAAGGGTTTACACACCCCTCAAACAATTCACATCTAGATCATCAATTCTTATCAAGTAATATAACAATAACATTCAAAAATTAATATAATGATCAATGGAATTACCAATATAATCTTAACATAAACGGTAAAACCCCCAATTATTCCAAAACTTAACTCATAGGCACTTTTCTACAATTTCGTACTCTCTCCCAGATCATCATTCTTACAAATTATTAGCATATTTGTAATCCTCATTACATGTAAAATCTAATGGGATCAACAATTCCTCAAAGAGAAATAATTATAAAATTACTCATAATCTTAAGGGACTCTTCCTCTGCCCAATTCCCTCATATAACTCTACATACAAATAATCCCCTTTTCCCCCATACCTGGATATACAGTAGCTGAAACTAAAACAGAGATCTCCTTGGTCTCCTCCTCTGAGTGTCTCTCGATCTTTAGAGAGTGTAGAAGGAAATGAAGAGAATGTAGAAGAAAGAAGTCAGAACTGAAAGGTGTGATTTTGGGAGTGCTAGAGCGCTCTATTTATAGGCATCAAGTGTCACCGGAATGACCCGTTTCAAATCCAGAATGGCCTGTTTTGGACTTTGACAGCATGTGTAAAATTTACATCTAAAACGACCTATTCTAAAACCAGAACGACCCGTTCTGGGGTTGTACTTAACCCACAACGACCATATCTGGAATTGCCCGTTCTCAATTAGGGTTATAGGCATTTTTGTTGATTTGGAACGCCCCATTCCAATTTGGGAACGCCCCGTTCCTATCTAAAATTTGTAGACAATTTTTGTATTTTGGAACAGCTTGTTCCAGTTTGGGAATGACCCGTTCTGGGCTACAAAATCACTCTCGTTTTAGTAGTTTGGAACAGCCCGTTCTAGGCTACTAATGACCCCTATTGGGCCTTTGGGCCCTCAAACAATCTGTGAAAATCAGGCTGTTACAGTTTGTTATGTGGTATCTTCTATCAACCTTGATTTTAATTAGTTGATTTTCATGCAACAAAATTCAAGGTTGATACTAATAAATATTGTCAAAAAAACAACTCATCCTTGCTTAGGCTTTCTGTTGTAGGTCACTGATAATTTCCATCTCTAATTGTTCCAAAATTATAATTTATCTATGAATGAGGGGTGACAGAGATAAGATCTCTGACCATTTAGTTGCTTAGAGACTCTAATACTATGTTCAAAAGTTAGATAGAAGAAGTAATGGGTTTATAAGAGCACAAATGCACAATATAGAGGCAGATAAAAGGTTGTAGGTGGAAGCACACATTACCTCCCCAAACTACATCTACTAGAGGCAGATGTATACAATTTTATAGCTGTCAATTAGTCTAAAATCATTCTATAATTAATTAACCTTGATTTTAGGATCAAAAATTCATCCTTAACAATCTTTCAAAAATAACTTACTTGCATTGCTTTAAATGTTTAGGCAACCTTAGACCCTTTATGTACGATATGTTATGGTTCACAATTCACAGATTCAAAATCAGAAAAATTAAACAAACAATTATGATTCCCGATACCACTGTGGCAAATTGATTTTCAAAGAGACTTAGGGGAACTCTTTTTTTATGTTATAAAGGATCTTATGTAAATAGTAGAATGTTGTCCGAGCAGTGGAGGATTGTGCGAGCATATTCACATTCCTATCGCCTCGGTCCTTCCACCGATTCCCACGACCTAGGTCATTTAGCAGCAACAATCAAAAGATGGATTTCAAGCCCTTCATCAAAAACCCTTCCCCAAATCAAAAAAATCAAAAGAAATTGAACAATGCAGCATAATCCGAACCCCTCCCCAAAAACCCTTTAATCACTCTCCAGCGAAAGCAAACGCAAGTGAAATATGTACCACCGCTCCCCAAAAACCCTTTAACCACTCTCCAGCAAAGGTAAATGCAAGTGAAATACGTACCAGGAATCTCGTGCATGGTGGGGTGCATCTCGTGCGGTGGTGGGTGCATCTCTTGCGATGGAGGGGTGTGTCTCATGCGGTGGTGAGTTGCGTCTCCTTTTGAAGGGTTTGAGGGAACATTTTGAAGGAAAGTAACAAATTTAAAATGATCAATTATTTCTTTTTTATTTTAACATACATTACGACGGTTCTCCTTAAAATTATCAAATATATCTTATTTTTATTAATGACATCATACAAATATTAATGTTATATTTTGATTTATTTTTCTGTGTGCTCACACTAACATTTTAATATTTTCATTTTCTTCTTCTTTTTTAAATGTAATCTTTCAAGAAAATAATATTTTATAATTACTACTGACTTTATAATTTTTAGTCATGATTTTAAAATTATAGAAAGAAAAAAAATAATCATGTACCTCATGCTAAAGAAAGTATATATAGAATTTTGGAGTGTGCATGGCTTTGTGTGATTTTTTTTCCTTCAATTTCTGCCTAGTAGATTGTGATGGTTTACTACAAACTGACTCAATATAGATAAATTTTGTGGCAGTTATTTGGATATGTTGCACGAATTGTCGCAATATTGAAATATTTTGCGGCAGTTAGGAGTAACTATCGTATGAACTATCGCGAAATTGAAGCGGTGATAGTTTCATAATAATTGTCGGAATTCATCTTTTTCCTTGTAGTGTGTTTGATGGAAATCTAATCCCCAAGGATCCCTTTGGAAGAGGTAAGACCAAGAAGGGTAAAGGTTGATCCATAGAAGAGCTCACACTTGAAGACCATTGGGCCTTTAACTAGGTCCATGGTTAGGAGGCTAGAGGAGGCTTCTACAGAATATGTGCTTCTTAGACCTATGTTCAATATGAGCATTAAGTATGATTCCTTTTTTTAGTCTCATAGTCTATATTGTAGATACCTTGTATAGTTTGAGTTCTTGTACCTTGTATATAGTAGATACTTGTATAGATGTATTTTGTCTTTGTATTTGTAAGACACATTTTCCTTTTCTTATAGGTCATCTCTTTAGGAATTTAGGGCATGTTGTTTGGAGACTTTTGCTCCATTTGACCTTGTATTAAGGGTCAACTATTTTCATATTTTTAGTAGTACAAGTGGGGTGACAAATAGTAAAGTGTGTAGGTAAAGCTAGCAATTGGGCCTGTAGTGGGCCTAGGCTAATTTTTACATATTTGGCTTGTTTTGCTCCATTAAACTAAGGAATTGATTTAACTAGGTCTCACCCTCATTAGGTGAACCTAACTAGACCAATTCTAACATTTTTGGATTGGATTAAGTGAAGGAAAACAAGATGGGCCCCCTAGCTCTTCTAGTTTCTCCCACACACTTGGTTAGCTTGTGCTACAAGCTTCTAGTTTGGCTTGCTCCAAAATCTTTGAAGCTTAGCTTGTTCCACAAGCTTCCAAGTTACTAGACCAATTAGCTTGAGTGTAAGAAGGCTAACCATGGTTCTTCTTGAACCATAGTTTGCCTAGCTTGCACCACAAGCCACCTCCTCACTATATAATTCCTTTTCTTCACTTTGTAAACAATTTTGATGATATATAGAGAGATTTCCAAAATTTGTTCAGAAATTTCTCTCTTCCAAAAGTCTTAACCTCTTTGATTTCAATCCATTTCTCTTATCCTCTTCATACAAGAGTGTGGTGAGATTTGAAGTGGCTAATCTTCCTCCAAGGAGTGACGCCGCTTGAGAGTGTTCCTCACCATTGAAGGTGAATTCCGAAGCTTCATTCACCATTGGAGGCTTTGGAGAAGCTTAAGGAGAACCAAGGAGCCAAAGGTTTAGGGAGAAGCTTGAAGAGGAATCAATTCCAATCCGGTTCCAACTCAAGTTTCCAACAGTGTTACTTAAGTAAGTAAAACTAAAAAAGTTGTAGACAATCAAACTTTTATGAAACCTACTATGTTACCTGTGAATTAATGAATTATCTCTATGTTTTATGAAATCTTTATATTATGAAAAAAGTTTAAATTTTGATTGCTTAGATCCATTATTACCTTTTCATTTGATTTTTTTTTATAAAATATATGTTAAATTCTAACATATGATTTATTTATTTTTTCTTCTTATTATATACATTTAATAGCACAGACCTTTTGATTTTTTTTATAAGATTATTATGTTGAGGTTTGAAAATCATATTCAAGCAGTAGATAAAACTAGGGATGGCAATGAGGCCCATGAAGGCGGGTAGTACGATACCCGTCCTCATCCTGCCGGATAAAAATTCACCTCATACCTATCCCATACCTGTGTGGGTATCGATTAAGTAGGTACTTGCAAATTTTATAAATACTTGTGGATTTTTGTGGATGTTTGTGGATATCTGTGGATATTTGTGATTTTTTTAATTTTTTTTTAAAAATTGCAAATAAATTTAAGCTTGTATATGTCAATACTTTATTGAAATATTAAGGATAAACAATTGATATTCATTTTTAAACTTGCATTTAATACTAATTTTGTTGAAATAAAAAATATTTAAAAATGCAAGATAAACATACAAATATTTAACTAATTTTACTTAATGAGTACCCATGGTATGGATACTATTATACTTGCCCCCATCTCATTTATTAATGAGTGAAAAAACATTTGTACTCATTACCCACAAGTATCTATTTAGACTATCCATTTATTATCTATGACAAATTTTATCTGCAAATACCTACAAGTACAAGTTTTTTTGTCATCCTATATAAAAAAGGCAATCTAATATACCTTATTTGATGACATCATGCTTAGAGATCATGTCCTAAAGGAATCAAGAGGAGTGGACTAGACTTCAGAAAGAATGCCCAAGCTCTTATTAAGCCTTGGGTCTCTTTTAGTAGCTTACTTTCTCTTCTTTGTGTATATTTTTCCTTGTAAATATTTTCCTTATTTTTGACATTGTATTTTTTTTAGGTAGTATAGGAATTTATGTTCTTGTATTTTTTTACAGGTGTAAATAGTAGTTTAGGAGGGGTGAAACTAGTAAAGGCTTGTTGGACATATTGAGCTTGGTAGGCCTAAGAACACCTCCCTTTTTAACCACATGGGACATCCACTTGCTCTTGTAAGTGGCCTGGGACGTTCAACATGCAGGGAACAAGGTGTTCCTAGGCCATCCAAGGAGCCAACATGTCATATGACCTTGTCTATTCACACCAAACATTTCATGCCACATGGCAAGTTTCCATTGGCTCTTCTAAATCTAGGATGGTGACATGAGTCACACTTTCCTTGCTTGTCCACATGACAAGTTCTCATTCGCCATTCTAGATCTAAGATAGTAACATATGGAGCAAGGTTGGCCAAATTTAAACAAGGTTAGTTTAGGATTAATAGTTTGAGGTCAAGTTAACCTAACTTAGGTTATCTTAACCTAAGTTAGCTTAGCTTGCACCATAAGCTATTAACTCCGATATCTAACTTCCTCCTTGCAATGTAATGCCACTTTCGAGATTTACGAGAAGCATTCTTGCACTTTTCTCTTTACCAAAAGTTTTAGTTCTCTTTGAAGGAGAAATCTCTCATTAAGTTCTTTTATCAAGGAATGCTCCTTGTGGGAAAAACCTCTTCTCTTGCTTATCTCCCACCATTGGAAGTGGCACACCACTTATAACTAGAGCCGTCAAAATGGGTCGTGACTCGTGGGCCAACCTGGCCCACCTTGAAAAGGGCCGGGTCGGGCCAAAATAAATAACAATTTTACAGTAAGTGGGTAAATTTAAACTCGGCCCACTTTTACCTGGCCCACTTGGGCTGAACCCGTGGTGGGCCGGGCAGCCCACCAGCCCACTTATTTTTTTTTATTAAAACAGAACAGCCAGCCTAATAGGCAAGTCAACAAACATGAGACAGCATAAAGTGAAAATACTAAAGTCCAAATTGTAAAACAAAAACGGTCAAAACTCAAAACCCTATTCTAAAGGAAACGGGACCACGCCGCACTTCACTGCTTCAGCTTCACGAAGGCTCTGTTTCACTGCTTCGGCTTCACTAAGGTTCCGCTTCACTGCTTCAGGTTCAGTGGTTCACGAAGGTGCCCCTCTACATTATAGGTTTCGCTTCATATCCCAATTTTCCTATTTAGTTGCTTACCCTTTATACGATATGTGCGGATAAAGAAATATAAAAGGATAAGGAAAGGTGCTAGTGGTGCTAGTGGTGCCACAGGGAAACTAGTTTCGCTCCTAATCAAATTACCCGTCTCCCAATTATTAGCTCACTATTGACGCACTCACAGTGCAATGAATGAATAGAAGGGTGTCATTTTTGTTTCATTATATTTATATAATTTATGTTTAGAAAAAATACATTTTTGGTTTCATTTATATTGTAATTGTAATATTAAATTATTTTTGTAATTTTTTTTAAAAAAATTTTGGTGAGTTGGTGGGCTAGCCCGTTTGATCCACCAACCCGTGGTGGGCCGGGCCGGGCCATAAAAATTCTGACGAAATAAAAAGAGGGCTGGGTTGGGTTGGCCCGTTTTTAAGGTGGGCCAAAGTGGGCCGACCCACATGGGCCGGGCTGGCCCATTTTGACAGCTCTACTTATAACACCCCAAGTTTTCTAAAAGCATTAAAAGGATATTTTGATCAATAAAAGGGATTTTATAAAATATTTTAGAGGCTTTTAATAATTTTGAGTGTTTTCAATAAATATTTTCAAAATTGTTTTGTATAATATTTATTAGAAAAAATATATTTTTATGATATTTTGTTATAATAAGCATTTAGAGGAAAATGATTTTTTATTATATATTTTATTTTAATTATAATTATGTTAAGATAAATATATTTATTTATATATTATATATTGTTAATTATTACTTATTGTATTTTGTTATAATTATTTGGGTTGATTTAATAATTGTTTTAATTATTTTATATGTATATGGATATATTATAAGGTTATAAATTAAATGATTTATTCATTTTATTGAGTAAGGGAAAGGTTTGTAATTGGGGTTAAAATATTTTAACTATTAGGTTAGTGAGGAGTTAAGTTTTTTATTTCAGGCTTCTCTTTTTTACTTTTATGCATACACTTTGAAGAATGGAAAAGAGAACAAAAGTTCATGAGAGATCGCCCTAGAAATTCACTCCCTTCATCCAACGTTCA